AGCAGCTGGTGTGACGCTGCTTTAGCCGCTATTTCTCACTGTATGTTGCTGGCTGGTGGGGCAGGGAAGCCCCCGCGGGGGTGGGATGGCTGGTGAGAGCAACAGGACCCGCTGGTGCTTTGTGGGGCTTCTGTGAAAGCTCTGTCTGGTGCGGGAGCTGGGCCCTGTGCTGCGGGAGACCCCAGTGCCCGCAGCCCCCCGGGGCCGGGCCGTGGAAGAGCCTTTCCCGGTGATACAGGCTTAAGGAACAAACTGAAAGCAGGTCAGAGAGTCTGTGCGCTGTGTTTGTCATGGGAGTTGGTGACGACGTCAGAAGGTGCCTTATCCCGGTGCTAATAAACCCCAGGAGGAAATGAATCACAGTGATATTTCAGGAATGCGCTGGAAATAAAAGTGCAGTTACTCCTGAGCGCCCCGAAGCGCGGCAGGGTACGGCCCGACGGCTTTCCTCGCACACGCCTCCTCGGTACCCGGGAATAGCCGGTTTGGAGCCTCTTACCCATCGCAGGAGTTTAACACGCTGCTGGTGGCACGGGTTGGCGATTACCCAGCCCCAGCGGGGAAACGTTCAGTTAAATAGTGGCAAAGGAAGAGTGACAATTATGGGATGGGAAAAGACAGGTTGTTCTCTGCTGAGAGCAAAGAGCGGAGCGTGGTCTGGGGTGGCGGGAGCAGGGCCCCTCCCTGGCAGCCACCCTGCAAGGGCTGGGCTGGGGGTGCCGCGGGCACGGTGCAGACCCTCGGCTTGGGGGGTGGAAAGAGTGAATGTGGGTTTTCACGTGTCCTCGGGCACAAGGTGGGAGGCACTCGTGGCACTTCCCGAGGACAGGGGATGTATCCAAGTGCAGAGGGATGAGAACAAAACTGCTGAGCCGTGGGGTGCTGGTGAGACGCCCAGATGGGCTTGGCCGGGGAGGAGGTGGGATGCTCGTGCTGGAGAGCGGCAGTGGCACCAGGGAAAACACCCAGTTAAAGGGAACTGTTTTTTCTCCACTCGTCCTTTGGGGTGAATCTCAAGCCATCCTCGCCTGGCTGTGCTGGTTACCCAGCCCTGGCTGTGCGCAGGCACATGGTGCTGGGGCTGTCCTGGCTGCGGGGAGTGCAGCGTGGGCCGGGAGCAGCTTCGCAGCCGGGCTGGCGCAGCCGAGGCTGCCTCCTGGCCGTGGCGCTCTGCAGGGACGTTGCCAAACACTGCTTAAGGAAAACAAACCAAACCCTTCTGCAGAGCAGTGTTGCTAATTGGCTTTTCCACCCACGTCTCGGTTTTCCCCTCTAAACACATAACCTCTGGTCCAGGAAAAGGTCAGTAGTGGAAGTTGCTGCTCTCTAACCTTTCTCTCAAGTACGGCTGGTTTTTAAGAGCCTTAAACCACACTTTAAACAAAACAAACTGTGTATCTTACTGTTTGCGTGAGCAGGGTGCAGTGTCACGGAGGAAACTCCTGTGGCGACAAGCTGACCTCCGCTGAGGGGGCAAGTCTCAGCCGAGCTGCTTGTCTTGGTAAGGCTAAAACCAGAGTCCTGTGTCGGGCTGATAGCGCGCTCACCGCGGGGCTGGCACCGTGTCTTGCCATTGACGACAGACAAAATGCTGCTCTGGGCGCTCGCTCGAGTGCGGAATCTCTCGGTGGTTCTGTGTGTGTTTGGCAAATTGAGGTGGACCTGCTTGGGTCACAACTTGGTGCTGTGTCTGGGCACAGAGCCCAGGCAGCTTTGGAGGGGCTTTGCTTGTCCCTTCCCTCCTCTTCCTGCACCCGCCTCTTGCCGAGCAGCCGGGAGCAGCGATGGCTTCGCCGTCCCGCGGCAGAGCCGCTCCGGCGCTCGCTGGCTGTTTCAGCACGGGGTGAGTTTGGGAGTGGCTCGGCGTGGAGCGGTGGCTGCCGGCCCCGGGCGCTCCCTGGGCACCCGTGCACGGGACACGCCGTGGTGGAGCCTGGGGTGCGCTGAAATCCTGAGCGAGCAGCCTGAGGAAGGGCCTGGCTTGGCACAGGCGCGCTCAGTTAGCGCGCGCTCGGTGGTGGTGGATGAAAACCAGCGTGAGGCGCTGGGAGCCGCTGCGCTGCCACTCGTTTCGGGGGGGTATTTCTGCCGCCAAAGTGTGGCAGCAGCCCGTGTGGGGTGTGCGTCCCCCTGGGGTCTGCGGGTTTGTGTTGTCACCCCGAGCACCCAGCGGCGTGGTGGCCCCCGCGCTGTGTCCCCCCCCCAGCACCATCACCATGGCAGGCAGGGGCAGGGGCCGAGTACCGGGTTTGGATGGGTTTTGGATGGTTCCAGTGATGCTCTGGGGCACTTGGGCAAGGGGGGGCCCAGCCCCGGGGTGGCCTGGTCCACCTGTGCCCCGCACTCGGCACTGTGGGCTTCGCACGGGGCTGTCACAGCCGTACCCCCCATCCCACAGCAAAGCTCACCTGGTGGTGAAATAACGCCCGTGTTTCAAATGCCATGTTCATGATTAGTGCACGTGCTAAGTGGCTCCATCCCTCTGGTGCCCGACAGGGCACACCCCAGGCCAGCGATCGCAGCACGTTACCCAGCACGGGGTTTGGGATGGGAAGGAGGTGGGAGACGCCGGTGCCTGATGGTGAAGGGGCCTGTGACTGCGGCCACTGGGCCTGTGGCATCGGCAGCCATAAACAAAGGGGGGAAAAGCATCCAGGGGGCTGTTTTACCCAGCCTCCAACAGCTGCTGCTGGCTCCAGCTCCTTCCTCTGTTAGTAATTTCTACTGCAAAAAGGAAAACGATGTGAAAAGATTGTTGCTGCATGAAACCCAGTTCTGAACATCTGTGCTGAATTGAAAATTTCATCCTAAAATAGACGCACAGATACAGAGTGAAAAGGAGCAACTTATGGAAGAGAGCTTGAGGGAATCATCAAGAATCAAACTTGCTCTATAAAACTGCTCTGGGGGTAGCTGAGCATCCATCGGCATTCCTTCCTCACTCCACTCGCTGCCGTAGGCATTGCTCCCAATACCGGGTATTAGTGGCTTTAACTGTGTCGGTTCTCTTCAACAGCCCCACGCTGTTCGGAGGGTGCGTGTCTCTGAAGCGCAGTGAAACCCCGGGGCTGCGTCCCCCATTCTATCTGTAACACCAAATGGGTTGGCCGGGAGATCCCCGCGTCCACCGAGGCCGGCAGCTCCTTGGGCACAAACCGCCCTGCAGCCGAAGCTGCTCAGGGGACAGAGCTTTCCCTGTGTCCATCGCTGTGACGCTGCGTGTCAGCGCGGTGCGGAGCCTGGCGTGCAGACACTCTGCCAGCGAGGCGTTTTGTCCCCCCCCAGGTCGTTACTGGCTGCCTCCGGGTACTCCCCTCCAACACAGCCCTCGCTGCCGCAGAGCGAGCGTGCCAGGTTTGCTGCTTTCTGACTCACCAGTAGGTAAATTGGGCAATCTTCTGTTTCCCAATCTGTTTTCTTTCTCAGGAATTCAGTCTTCAGTTTGCTTTCAGGACAGCAAAAACCTAATCCAGCTGCTAGTTCACACATGCATCTCTCTCCCTGCTCGGCAGATGCCGGCAAAAGCCCTGATTTTTCCCAAGAAGCGAGGCGAGGCTGTGCCCGGTGCCCCAGCAGCCGCGCGTCTGCCCGACCCCACGGGGCTGTGACCCGCTCCCCTGCGCTCCCTCCCTGCAGCCCGAGCCACGTCCTGGGCCCTGCCAGCCCCAGATCTCTGCCAGGGCGATGGCTGCAGCTGGGGGCCGTGAGCCCCCTGTGAGCTGGGGCTGCTGCGGGGCCAAGCGCCGTCCCGCGGGGACGGGACAGGACGGGGCTGGCCCCATGCCCCGAGATGCCCCGACGTGCCAGCGCAGGGCGATGTCCCATGTGCAGCGCCCAGCCTCAGAAACTGCCAGAACCAAACTCTTGGTTTTTTCACATGTCTCTTCTGTGTC